AGTTGAAGGAGCCGGAAAGGAAACAGTCGAAGAAGCTGCAGGAGTTGGAAAGGAAGCTGAGGAAGCCGAGGAAGCCGAAGGAGCTAAAGGAACTGAACAAGTTGAGGGAGCCGAAGAAGGTGTAGCAGCTGAAAAAGATAAAGAAGAAGCTGAAGGAGTTGAAGGAGCCGGAAAGGAAATAGTCGAAGGAGCTGCAGGAGTCAGAAAGGAAGCTGAGGAAGCCGAAGGAGCTAAAGGAACTGAACAAGTTGAAGGTGTCGAAGAAGGTGCGGCAGCAGGAGTTGAAGGAGCCTTAAAGGAAACAGTCGAAGAAGCTGCAGGAGTCAGAAAGGAAGCTGAGGATGCCGAAGGAGCTGAAGGAACTGAACAAGTTAAAGGTGTCGAAGAAGGCGTAGCAGCTGGAAAAGAAAGAGAAGAAGCTGAAGGAGTTGAAGGAGCCGGAAAGGAAACAGTCGAAGAAGCTGCAGGAGTCAGAAAGGAAGCTGAGGAAGCCGAAGGAGCTAAAGGAACTGAACAAATTGAAGATGTCGAAGAAGGCGTAGCAGCTGGAAAGGAAAGAGAAGAAGCTGAAGGAGCTCTAGGTGTCGGGAAAGGTAGAGAAGAAGCTGAACGATATAAAGGATCTGGAGAAGAAGCCGAAAAAGTTGTTGGAACCGGAAAGGAATCCAGTTCTAATGGAGCTTCAGAAATTGGTAGCAGAACAGCTTTCAATGTAGGGGAAAGGAGTACCGAATTTGTTAAAGAAGTTAGACAAGGATGGCGAGATGCATTGGAAACGTTGCGTGAGCAGCTACGGGATTTTGAAGACAATATAGAACTATTCGTTGAGCAAAGTGAGAAGACTGCAAATTCTAAAAGGGAAGAAAACCGAAAAAGCAGAGAGGTACATTATTACCGTTGAAATCATTCCAGCATATTCCTTTGTATTTCAAACAGAAGGATTGATGAAGTTCATGTTAATTTGACTGGTTTTGCAATATTTAAAAACTTCATTAAAATCTGGATGATATGGAAAAATAACTTCTACTGCTTATCTTTCTACTTAACTTATGTGTGATTGTTAGAAATTGTTAGAAATGGCAGAAATCGACATTGTGAGTTTCGTACCATTGACACAATAAAAAACAGTGATACAATAGTGGTACCAGTGATACAATGAGAAACGGAAATTTAGTAATTTTAAAATTTAAACTGATACAGCTGTTGCTAAAGTTGAAAATTTCATGTCTTAAAAGATTGAGTGACAATGACAGGGATGCTTTAAAGTGATCTTTAAAGTTTAAAATTCAAGAATTCAAAATTTTTTTGCAGTACTCTATTACGAACTTGCGTGGCAGTGAACATAAATTCAGGCGCGGCAAAGTAGAAAAGCTGTCTTCTTGGTATGTTAATAATAGTAGAAAAAGTCATGAATTGAAATACGAAGCGACTTCGAACAAAATGAAATTCAATAAGAAAACTGTAGAAAACAGTTGGCAGAAACATACATTGTAAGTTTTGTACCATTATATAAAACAACAAAGAAGGGAAATTTGGAAATTTTAAAGTTTAAATTAACTTGAAAGCTAAAAATCAAAACCGTAAGAATGGAATGTCTACAAAATGTAAATGACTTTCTTAATTATCTTTTCTATACGTAAAGTGCGTCGGGATAAGAATGAATTTTACAGAATTTTGACTTAGAAATCCTAGAAAAAAATTTTTGTATTTATTCAACATTTCTTTGCAAATATCGTTGCATCGGCTTGGCGAATAGAACTTGTCGGGCACGTATTTTCTTTACAAGGGATTAGTTCAAATGTGAGTAATTTGAAAAGAACGGAAGCCTCGAATAATCCTATAAGCACTGAGAATCTGAAATTCTCTTTTCAATGAAAAAAAGGAAAAAGAGAAAAGTTTTTGTATTAAATCTCAAAAGAAAATTGTTTTTACGATGAAAATTATAGCGGAAAAGCAATGAATCCTTTGGAAAAGCGAAGGAAAATGCTGGAAATACAAAGGCTCGGGGGACCTATGAAAGCAATAAATGGAACTTATGTTGAAGAAGGAAAGGAGATGAAATCAAACAAAGAAAATGAAGAATTGATATATGCTAGATTACTGGAAGAGGAGGCTCGTTTGGAAGAAGTAAATAGTTTTTTCATTTTATTTGGATTTTTAAAGGGATCTGGAAAACTTTGCAATTAGCTAATTAAATCTGTTTAGGCACGTCTTCTACGTGAAGAACAGATGGAACTAAGAAAGCAGCAAGAGCTTCATCATGGTTTTGTTGATAAGGTTCAATTGGAACGACATGAACAAATAATGCGACGATTGGAGCAACTTGCCGAAAAGGAAAGGGAATATCGTGAACAACTTGAACGAGAGGGGCGAATAAGAATGAAATTTTACATGACAACACCTCCCAATGAGAGTTTTTCGTCGACTCCAATCGATGTAACAAAGTTTTCGAGATTTAGTAATGACGTCATTAATTATTTGAAGACAGGAATATTTTAAGTTATAAGAAGCACTACACTAGGCATTTATAAAAAATATCCTTGTAAGGATATTTTTATACAGGTAATAAATAAATAAATATATATATATATAACCTGTATTTCCTTTCATTATTCCCATCCGCTTTCGATTAAACGAACTCTTGATTCTTTTCAAGATGTGAAGCAGTTGATTGAAATATTTCGATGTTTAAATATGGATTATTCTTAAGATTAACTTAAATTACCTGAAGCGTTAGCCAAATTTTATCAGATTATTCTGTACTGCAATTTTGAGTGGAGAAAAAATTTCATTTGTGCATTTGCTATTACAGAGTGATAAAGACTTCGTGCCCTCGGCACAATGTTCGGTGATAAGAAAATTTGTAAAGGTGTTCGCTGTTGCCGATCCGATAGAATGGATTCGAAACAATTGTTCAATCGTTAAAATCTACTTCCCGGAAGAAAGTTGTGAACATGTGGTAAATTTATTCAAATCCTGCTTACAATAGCACATTGTAAATATCATTGCTACTGTAATTATTTCCATCGTTTTTTATACAGTTTGCTCAATGCAAGATTCGACTTGTTATCTTGTCTTCATTCGCGCTTTATACTTTGTCCAATGTCCAATAAATTATGCTGAATCTTTTCGAATTTCATCCACTTTTTCATCGAAAATTCAGAACAGCGAAAGATGACCAACCAAATGTGTTATTAATTTCATATTATTCTCATTTTAAATTCTGAACTTAACTATAAAATTATATATTCGCTTCCCTGGACTAATAAACAGTTTTGAGAATTGATTTACAAGTTCAAATGTCAATTGCTTTGGACAAAAAACAATTTTCTGTCTTCTTTTATGTTTTCATGTTTTAATAACAAATGACATGTGTTATATGTTGTGACAAGTGATTATCCTTACATTCCATTTAATAATGCTCCATATTATATTTCACTTCCACAGTTAATAAGTTCGTTTTAATGGCACTTAACATGTCGGTTGTAATTGATGTTATGTTGTATTTATTAAAGAATGATGGGATTTAAGAGTCGTACGCTTCATTTCTTTCCCAAACAAGATATGCTGTATGATTCAGGATAATAAAGAAGGAAATTTAATAAATATGATTAATTGATTGATAAGATGTGATAATGAAGAGAAGCAAGCAAGAAAATGATAGGAAAATTTTGACATATACAAATAGACGTGCACAGTTACGGCATCTATACACGTTGCTAATTAGTTGAGGCAGATTTTTGCAAAATGAAAATGACGGCGATTATTTACATGAAGATGTTAGCTTTCAGACTTTTTATTTAAATATTTAAAAATATTGCAATAGCTAAAATCTTTTACATTCGCTTAAAATATCTTAAACTGTAACTATTTGTTTATGAATCACAATGAAAACTATTAGAAGAAAAATCGTTTTTTAACAGACAGTAACATATTACATTTAGGACAATAATGCCTTACATCTTTACAAGAATCGATTAGAAATGGTACGAATGCTATAGGAAAAAATAAAATAAGGATGATGAATACAAGTAACCATGTGAGACGACCCGATTTGTGACTTTGTTTAGTACGGATCCGACACTATAATTGAAATTTGCAATTCATAACTTTGAATATTAATAGGTAGACCGATATTTATCACTTATATCTATTAAGTCAGAAACTAAAGACTAATACAGTGGTTTTAATTTGTAGAAATTCAAAAAAGTCTCCAGAAAATTAAAATTAAGTTGTATCATTTCCTTTGATTATCAAAAGTTTATATCTGAAGTACAAGCTTATCAGTTGAGGATAATAGGTGAATGTGTATCTATGAGTTGATTCACTATATTCAGAGAATTTAGCATGGTTAATGGAAATATGTCATTCTGCCTTTCAAGTTCCATAGTTTAAAAGTGTAAATTAAAAGGAATAATATTTAAGTCATTCTATTAATCTTAATCGAAACATATTGAAATAAAAAGTTCTTTCAAAACAATACCTGACATTTGGGACAAAATTCATCATGCGGCTCCGCGGTTGTTGCCTTCTTAACAATATAATTTGACACTGCAACTGATGCATCGCTTGGTCCTAGAAAAATTTGATTTATCATTTAAAATATAATGACTTAAATCAAAGCGTAAAATGAACTACGCAACTTTGATGTGCTCGAATTTCAATTGATGCAGAGTAATCAGCACTATGGTTGAAATGATTTAAATTCATCTAAACTGATTACATAAATTTATAAAATTTTAAACCTAGAAAGAATAATTGATGTTATTTGTTTTGTCTTGCTTTTGCTTGAAATCCAAAATAATTTAATAGCAAATGTAATAAGAGAATTTTGCTCTCCAAAAAAGGATATTGAAATTTATAGTTAAAAAAAATAAGTGATTTGAAATGTCTCCTCTCAACACACTTATTCATTCACGTTATTCCTAGAAAGTTTCATAATTTGAATTGACTTACCGGAAGCTGGATTGACACCTTCTAATATGCTAATAACGTTTGTTGGAGTTGAAATCAGTTGTGGATGAACAGTAGAGCTAACGGATCCGCTTGAAAATGGTGTACATGGAAGATGAGGTGTATTGCAATTCATCTCTTCTTTTTCCATGATTTTGTTTACATTTAAATCGCCCAATCTTACATTAATCATCTTTGAATAAGGCGGTGGTGGCCTTTCAGGGCTATATGGAGGGGGAGGTGTGCTTTTACGCACCGGCTCTTCAATTTCACCCATTCACTGCTGTCAAGAAACACTCTGAAAATCAGTTTTGCTAATTGTTGCATGAAATTGTTTTTGGTGAACGAAATAATTGAATATATTTCATATATGCGTTTGAGTTGAAGTTCAGCAGGAAAAAATTAGTGAAACGATCTCATCAAATAATTAAAAAGCGATTAAAAAAATCAAAATTATCATTGATACTGTACTAGTAAGGCATATGTCAACTAATAAACCATTATTATTATTATTATTATTATTATAAAATTAAAAATTATTACAACAATTTAACTTTACCACTACCTAAAACTGTCTATTTTTTCATCTTAAAGACAAACATAAGAAGGAGTTTAGCACGTCGCAAAAAAAAACATGAAAACGTGTTTTCAATCACCTCTCTCTCTCCCTCTCTCCCTCTCTCTCCCTCTCTCTTTTTTCATAAATAACAATTGAAATGCAAAAGTCAACGATAAAAATCTGTGGGAAGCTTAATATTCAGGGACGAAATTGCTGCTAAAACGAACTTTTTAAAAATTATACAAAAGTTTGAATAAATCGAATTAGCATTAATCAAAGACAATAGATAATTAGACACTGATATATTCACGAGGTCAAATCTTCTCCCCTAAGATTTGTTAAGTTTTTCTTTAAAAGAAGCAAATGAATAATATATTTATTAAAAGATTTTTGAATAGCTTTCCAAGCAAAAACTAATCCTGCTAGTTTTCTTTTCAGTATTCCCCATACTTTTATAATTGAATGATTTTTACCGATCCTCAAGTCTTGATAGGAACCGAATTGTACGATCACTAGGATCTTCCTGAAACACTAAAGCAGTTGGTGGTTTCAGAGGGAGAAATGTTTTACTGGTATAAAAGTAGCACTAATAATAATAATAACAGATAAACAAAAGATTACGTTGGGCAATTAATTATTCCACTTTTAGTTTGCCAAGAAAGTGCGAAAAATCGACGTAAAAGGGACTAAATATTGCAATTTCAATTCCTTACTTGGCGTTTCCATTAATTATATAGCTATATATCTATATGATCTGATGATAATAATAAAATATGAATAGGCATCACAAATATCTTTTGGGATAAGTTTATCAAGCTGATCCATTAAAAAAAGACGCATGGAATGATTAACAAATCTGATAGTTCAACGATTTCATTAAATTGTTGATGGAGAAAATAAGTGAAATCATCTTTTGAATTCACAATATAATGTTTGCTGTTTGATCAACAATGTTAAGCTTAAAGGATTGAGCTCCACTTTATATTTCATATTATATGAACATACAATTTGATAAAAAATTTTATAAAGAAGGACATTGAAAAATTTTTTTTCATGAATTCTTTTGTGTGTACAACGATGGTTGAAGTATATCGCAAAGCATTATTAACAAATAAGAAAAAGAACTCATTTAGGTTTAAGTAAGCTGTCATCATAAAAAATTGAAACTCGTCCAAGTCAAGTAAAGCAAGTTCTTCGTTTTTTAGTTATATTTGAAGTGTTCGTTCAATAATGGATTGAATTTATAAATTTAGGAGTTAGGTGTTTGTGTATATATGTGTGAATGTAATAAGGATTTTCATAAATATAATAAAAAATGCAATATCATCCTTGTATCGGTGAAACAATTGAAGTACTCAATGCTTACGACACTGTTCTTCGTGATGTGTTTAGTATTCGCAGCAGAAGGAAGGGAATAATGAAACGATGGTAATTTCAAATATTATTAACTAATTTACCATCACCTTGTGGAAATTTACCATTGTCAGTATCATAAATTATAGTAAAAAGAATAAAAGTTTAACTTAAAGATGCATTAGGAAGAGTTGAAATCCAATCACTTCGAACAAAAGAATATGCATAAATTGGAGGAAAAGAAAAATAAATTAATGTCACGAAAAATTTGGTAAATGAATGCGGAAATGTCCGAAACTAATTTAATGGAATAGTTAAAGTCAATCAAATGATACAATCTCTTATCATCATCCTATTCTCTTAGAATTATTTTCAATTCCATCAAATAAGGTGGTATGGAATAGAAGAGCGGAAGAACAAGAAAGAGGAAGTAATAAGACGGGAATAAGATCACCGCCACACGAAGGGATGAAATAGAGTAGGAACAGAAAGTGGCTAAGAGAGAAATGGAAGTGCGGTATCCGCCAAAACGACCTAAATTCAGAGGTGTTCTCCCGGGGGGTGCGACACAGCATAATCATAACTACATTATTGTATGGCGTAAGTACAGCGGTGCACTATTTCAAGAATCATTTCATTCCTCCAACCCAATATGTTATTGAACTTTTTCTTGTTCCAGCAAATTTAATTAACTCATCCCCAGAACTACTACTGACCTATCACCTAATTGACTAGCCAACTGAAATTATCATTTGGCTCAGCTTTTGTGAATTGATCAATGCAGATGTTATCTGTTGAATGAAATCAATTTAGTTCAATTTCCCGTCAAAACTTCTCATTTACTTGATCGAAACAATTCCTGATTACCTGATAAAATCAAAACAATACCAGGGAAAATGAACAGCAAAATCAATTTTAATAATTCCGAATTAGCAAATAATTGTTGCAAGTATTTCACAATTTGCTAAAGGTTTTAAAAGATTCGAAATCAATTTTAACCTTAACAAATGACTGACCATCGTCAAATTTAAAGCAATTCAAGTATTATTGAATCTATCTAAGCGAATAAATTCTTAATATCAAGAAATATATGAATGGGAGAGATAAAAATAAGGTGGAAAAATAATTTCCCTAAATGAATAAGTCTGAAAGGGTGCCAATCATACATGAATCCAAAAAAACAAATCCTGTTTGTTCTCTGTAATATTTATTAAGATTTTTGATTCCAGTAAATATTGAAATTGATAGAAATTTGTCGAAACCACCAAACTGCGCCAAAAAGTTTCACCATTACTTAAATTACTACTTTTTATGAGTAAATTAATTTACTATTATTTTTATGAATAAAGGGTGACGTGTTGTCGAAATATAGTGCAAATTTATCCATAAAAAGTTAAATTAAAAAAAGATTAGAGGAGTTTAGTTGACGAAAACTGAATTCTCAATTAGTAACAAGAGCAGACAGACATAAATACCACCTGCAATCACCAAAAATGATATACAAATTTTTGGTCAGGTGCTAATTCTATTTACACCTAGGCAATATTATTTGTGATTATAAAATGAAATAATTACCATATATTCTGGAAATACTGGTTATAACGCATACAAACAGAGAAACTTTCCATTTTAAAACTTGACAGAATTCCTCTCTATGAGCTATTTTTGATGGAAATAATCATTTTTCAATTTTAATTTAATAACTAGAATTGAAAATAATTCTTTTACAAAATTTCCATTGAATTGAAGGAAGCAATAACGTTAAAATAAATACAGACTGCTATTTCATAAACTAATAAGCTAAACTTAAACCTAAATTTGTTAAAAACTTGAAAATTTAAGCGGGAGAATAAATTCCAACAATTTCTCTTATTATTACAAAATTTTGAAATGACAGGTGTGCGCAACAACATTTACCGATACAATGGACAAAAATTCTTCTAATTCCTACCTGCAATAGTAAAATATAACTGTTGTTCTAATTTTGGCCAAATTTTCGAAAAAAGTTTCATTTTCAAACAATTTACGCACGCTTTGTATTCATTGAAATATGATATCGAAATAAATTATTTCTGAAGCTAAGTTTTAAGATGTATCACATAAATGGATGAAATAATAATTATTACTTTTTGATTATACAATTGAGTACTATAGAAATTCGAGTTATCATATTTTTTGACAATTATATGTGGAATTTAATTAATTGTCAGATCACTACAGATGGGGTAAATACAGCAAACTAGAAAATAGAAACAGAAAGTGTGTATTGAATGAGACAAGAAAGAAAATAACAACATGAGTGTAGATGACTAATAGCGATCGGAGAGTCTGCGAAGCGTCCTTTTTAATAACCAATATAACAAACGTCAATATTACCAAACATACATCATCAATCAGTATCCATACGTTGACGATCATTATGAATTAATCAAAAAAAGAAAAAAAATCATGAATTTTAATCTGACTAAATTCTGTAACAATTTCATCAGTGATTTGAACAAAATCGTTGATTGACTTTAGAGCAGCGTGTCATATTAAAATGAATTTTTCGATTTGATCAAATTCGATTTCATCCAAAGTAAACTTATAAAAATTTCATCGATAGATAGAATACATATATGTATATAGCTATTTAATCAATGCTTTCTTTCCTTCTTTAAAATCAAAACTTACTTCTTGTTTTCCATAAAAATTTATGAAATTTGAAAATTAAGAAAAAGTCAATCTTCATAAATAACTCGACCATCAATACAAATTTTTTGATTTTTAATACATTTCATTCTTCTTTTTGAGCCGTCTTCATTGACAAGCTTTATACCAACATCAGCCGTTATTGCTACCTATAAATGGTAAGTACAGATTTTTACGGAAGGGACCATTCCTTCGATTATATTATCATGCCTATCACCAATAAATAACCATGCATATTTTAATTCCATAAATTTTCGAAAGCCTGCTAAGAGTAAAAGTTCAAACACTACAGTATTATTAATCTGAATGATACAAGTTGTTAACATTTCACAGGAAACGAAACGAACACTTAAAATATCTTATCTACACATTTAAAGAGCAGTAGATAAATGACAGATTACATTTAATCCATGACTGTCGGATAAAAAAATGGTTATTTTATTTGTATCACTCTCAGATTCAGCATTTACCACCTGTAAAATACAGGAAGAAAAAACATGTATAATATAAAAAAAGAAAAGAAACAATATGTGAACTAAAAAATTGATGAAGGCTAATCATTAATGCGTAGATAATCTTTTTAGCAAAAAAGAAAAGCTAGTTATCACCTCCTATTACTAACCATTATGTTTCAGGTTGCTATGTACACCTAACATTTTGATGAATTCATTATTTCTAAAACTCACTGTCGGTGAAATCATCTCTGTATTAAAATTTAATTGTGTAGTATCATCTGTTACATAAAAAGTACGCTTTGGAGAATCAAATGATGCCAGTTCATGGGTTTCTGATTTTGGTTTTTTTACTCGCCTAAAATACAACAAAGTCGATGGTCTTCAAAATTATTTTACATCCTAAACTTCGTCACTAAAAAATTCTTCAGAAATCACATTTTAGACCGAAGCCTTTTCACTAAATATTTGATTGATGCCATGACTCTTAACTTTCACCGCATCTCAGTTCGATTTCAAAAATGTACATATTCTGTTTTAGCTTTCAATTCAGAGATAAGATCATATAACACCTTTAATTATTACAAATATCTTTAAAAAGTACATGATTTCTGGCAGGTTCGGTTGTAGCAAAACTCCAGATGGCTTCCTCCAGATGCTTCCTGATTTTGGACAACAGATGTCATCCGGATATCCATGTAGCAAATCTAAGAAATAGCGCTTTTATAAGAATAAATTTGTGATTTCAAAGATAAAAAGATTTGTGAAGAGTGGATAAAATTTATGTAAATAGCAATCAGTGAAAATTCGAAAGCAAAAAATATAAGAAATGAGAATATACTAATTCTAGAAATAAGTTACCTTGCAAAATGGTAGGGCTTACACGAACTCACAATCATGAAATTCAAACATAGATTTATCTCTCAACTACATTACAATATACAATAAAAAAGCTGAAGTTAAAACATCTCTTGTAAGGCCTTTTAAGAGTTGAGAATATTTAAAAATTTTACAAATATGACTATTGCTATTATTATTTATTATTATTATTATTATTATTATTATTATTATTATATTATCATTATTATTTATTATTATTTATTATCATTATTGTTATCTATTATTATTGCTTATTATTATTGTTCATTATTATTATTGTTTATTGTAATTATTGTTTATTATTATTGTTGCTTGTTATTATTATTGTTTAATATTATTATTTGGAAAAATTGCAAGATGATTTGTGTGAATGACATAAGAATACCTTGTTCAGGTAATAGAGCAGTGTTTAACGAAGAAGCTTTATGAACAGCAGTGGATGGAGAATTTTCATGGATGCTAAAGCAAAATCAATCAATCTTGATTACTCTGAATTTAAGTTAGCACTATATTTAGAAGAAATACGACGCATATCTCAATTAACCAAAATCATTTTATCCAAAAAAAAATATATGCTTACCTACTGGAGTCATATTCAGCAGATGAATCTGGTGAATGATCTGTAACATTATTCAGCACTAATTAAGAACAATATCGTTCGTACCAACTTTCTTGATACTATAACAATTTCATGGAATACTCACCATTTTCTGATTCGCTACCACCACCAGCTGACGTATCACTTAATCCTGCAAATCAATGAGGATGTAAGATGAAATTCGAGATTTGAAATTTAAATCTGATTGGAGAACTAAATCGGCTTACAAAACATCTATTTCTTTTGCATGCATATGATTCCGGTCGAGCAGAAACAAATTTAATGACTTAAAAAACACAGCAATGAAAACAATTACAAAAAACAAAAACAAAGCAGTGTGCATCATCAAACAATTACTCCACCCATAAGAACTGTTTCTATGTAAAACCACGATAAAAATGAACAGGAATTGAACATCGCTTCCAAAAATTTTTAAATTTATTATTTATTAATACTATTACTATTTACTCATTTATTATTATTGTCAATATTATTATTATCATTATTTTTATTGTTATTATTATTATCTTCGGCGTCATTATGACTTCTCTTAAGTCCAAATGTGATCACTATTTTTTAGTTACTTGGATGATTCTCAGATCTTTAATACGCAATTCATTTATGAGAATAGGCATTTCTAACCGGATTTTGGAGGGGAGTCATCGTTTCGCTTGGTGCTTTTTAGATTTACTTCTTGTGTTGTTGCAATCTTTGCTTGTTCTGGTAGCTCTCGTGATGATAGGTCATAACTAAAAATTTAGTGTTATAGGAAAATTGAACATGGAAATTTTTCAAAATTTCAATCCATCATTCAAGTTTGTTTCTTATACATGAGAATGAGGAAGGGATGACGAGCATTCTTGCTAATTCGAATTTTACTTTCAGATGAAGTTTAACTATCCAGTATTACAAACCGACAAAAACGTGTACAATATAACAACTGATTACGAATATAAAAATAGTCTGCACTGTAATTATTTTTTTTCAGTGAAACTAAATGCGAAAGTTTAAACACAAGTTCCATTAAAACAATACAATATGTCGATTATTATTCATATGTAATTTGAGGAAGGCATAGAAAATTGGATGGTACTTTATCGCTTCCACCATCAAAAAGAAATGAAAGTACCTTTCAAAGAGGATTAAAGTAACCGATACTACAAAAGTGAAAAAATTAGCTGGAAAGCGGGTTTTGAGAAAGAAATAAGTTATTTGGCACCATACCATTTGAAGTGATATCTTTTTACATTTGGAATTTAAATTTAAAAAGACAAACCTGGATAGTAGAGATCCGGGATAACTCCCACAAATATCAGTGGTATAATCACACGCTTTATACCACTGATACGATTTACCCGGAAAAATAAAGAAATCTAACCATTATAAACTTCAACTTCATTTAAAATTTCGAATAGTCTACCTAAGTTCAAATTTTATGACTTCGAAGGAAACAGGAATTTTAAAACTTCTTTCAATTTTTTTTACACAATGATAAATGACGACAAATGCATTAATTCGAAATTACACATATTCCTCAAGTTATTTTATAACTAAAAACCTTTAATTTCGCTACTGCTGATAATTCCAAAACAGTTTCGATGGTTAACAATTTTTTATCATAACCAACCAATTGATTGAAGTCGCAAATTTTAGGTTCAGTTGATTTTACACTTTTGTTATAGCGATATCCATCAGATATTGGAATTAATTTCTGATAAATATTTTTTATACCGAAGGGAATTTTAATGGAAATTTTTTACTCTATCATTGAAAAAAATGTCTCATTTCTTTTGCAGGAGTAAAAGCTATAAAGTTAAATTAAAATTTTCCAAACTTTGGAAGGTTGAAAAAAGAATAAAGAACATGAATAAGGCAAGTGAAAATTTCGAAAGAAAAAAAAATTTGTTCGATCATTTATGTTTAGTGAGAAGGCTTACTTTATTTGGTTCTTTGTTACTTTCTTTGCATCTTAATTCGATCGAATCAATCATTTTATAATTCCCGTTCTTTGTAAGCAATATCTTATTACAGCATTTTGCATAAGCTGATTCACAAAAATTCTGGATCACATTTGTTTTATCAGTCTTCTTCATATTGGTGATGGCTTTCGATACTGAAGCTAAAGTCGCTTTATTATATACCACCAGTTTTCATCTATTCAAAACTTGGAAATCAATGAACTAATTAAGATTCCAACAGGTACATAATACATTGGTTTGGTGCTCAGCTTATGCAATATAAGTGAGCACCAAATCCTGGTGCTCACTTATATTTCATTGAAAATGTCAACAGGATAGCACCCTGTCCATAGCTGAATTTTACTGTCTAAAACAAACCGTTCATTCGTTCAGGATATTTTTAGAAATTCAGTTAAAGTGAAAGATTTCGATGTGATTATGTAAAGCTTAAAAAAAATTCACTTGAAAGAAAAGCCTTAAAATAGCAAAATAGTACCACCGCTGGTATTGATACTATCACCACCATAAATTCGGGTTTCATCATGTATAATGCCCACAGAGATGTTTCTATCCACCGGTGTAAATTTCATCGCTCTAATCAGAAGTAAATATCCATCGCATACATATAAAGTCAACTCATTTTTTGGTTGGTGATATTTCTTATCGCTCTGCAAAACATGTAACTTTTAACTCTTATGCTTACCTCTTCTTACTGATCACCATGTATTGGTGTATTGGTGTAGGACCACCATGTATTGGTGTTCAGCATTTGATAAAATCATTTTCTGTTCATTTAAAATGCCCCATACAAATTTAGTCCCATTTATTTACCTACTCTCCACTTATCACAGTTTTAATTAAAATCACTGTCAATGTAGTAGTTCAACTTCATTTCACAGTTAGTTATTTGAAACAAATGCTTTTGCAAATCAATTTTAGTTGAATTAACCATCAATTCACTTTAATGGGCTCAAAATGCATCCTTTTCGGCTGTAGCAGAGTAAGTTCACGTCTTCGAGTTTTTTTGTCATTTCCAACGAGTTCAATTTTGTGTTCCAAATGCATTTCACCGTTATGTGTTTGATTAAAGCGTATCAATGTGTGAATTCGTATCGGTTCTGCATATAATTATCTCACTTTCATTTATCAACGAATTATTTACTTACTGTAGCTTCAAGTCGTAAAATTATGTTCTACAATTATTAATAAAACATATAGTTAAAATTTTCAGTTATATGAATGGATAAATCGCACTAGTTACGAATACTATGTGAGAATTCTATTAATAAATTTCGTAGAAGTGAAAGTGAAACTTCAGAATAAAAAAGTTATTAATTACATCAGTGAAAGGAGAAGAAAACAAGATATCGACTCGAAAGATAAAAGAATTTATGTAGAAAAGAAATCTTATACTACTTGGTATTTTATTTAAATACCTACTCTGAATAGGTCCGTTATTTTAGCGTAAAGTACGTCATCAAAATTATTCAAACGAATCTATGCAAATTAAAAAGAACCACTTTTGCTCTTTTCATTGTATACGATATACCTTTCATATTCGACAATATCGCATCAGTGAATTTTGCCGCTTTTGGTAATGCATTTTGTTGCTCGACCTTCAAAAATTCATTCATGAATACGTTAATAAGCAAATATTTAATTAGTGATTTTACTGAGTTAAAAAGAAATAAATGACAAGTAATTAGTGATGAAATTTTACACAACATTTTGTTCTGATATAAACCACACAGCATTAGGATTGCCAACTAATTTACTAACTCATTAATTAGGATTGAGACTCCAGACTTGGCTTAGCTTAAACTAGACATTATCTGAAATGACTGCATTGGTAATATTTCATCTTTCACAGCAATAATTGAGATAATTCTTCATCATTTTTTCTGCTATATAACAAAAATTGTTCTGATTACTCTACGTTCGTTTCCTGGATGAAGCTATGATTTTAAGAAATGTTTCTTGTAAAAATAACAAACTCACTTTTTTCCAAGATTTTTAGATCTTTATTAAAGTATTTAAATTCTTCCAGAAAAAGTACTATTCCAAGAGCTCCAAAATTGAAAAAAATAAATGAGTGCTGGAGAATTATAGCTTGATAATAGTAAGTATGATGAAAATTCAAAAACAATTGAATCACTTTAACTCATTTAATCAAACCTTACTCTCAATAAAAATTAAATTTTTGAATTGGTTCCTAAAAACTGACCATTAATTTGTTATGTGAAGCCATCGTCAATGAACGCTTACCATCTGATTTATCGTTAAAATCTAAAATTGGAAATTATTCATGATTTGAAAAAAAAAACTTCGGAAGCAATAAGTTTTTTATAGGAAATAATATTTAGGAATAAAAATATGTTTTCTCCGCGCTGGTATTATTGGCGTTCCAATTATCGATGTTCTACTACCTTTTGACTGTCCCTCAATCTGAAACTGCAAGAAGAAAGTATAAACGTTGATATTACTATGAAATACTTCTAGAAGTCGATCAATATTTCTCAAAAACACAAACTTATGACTTAATTTCGATTTATTGTTTGAGTTTTGCTAGAACTTCGTTTGTATCTTTTTTTAATACTTTTAAGAATAGTACAGTTTTCCAAAAACTACAAATAATCCAAAATTGCAATAATTCCCTACAGAATTAAATTTTAATTCTAGAAAATCAAATATGGAGAATATTCACTGATTTTTCCTGCTGGCGAATTAATCTTTCAGATGAATACGTAGATTTTCCAACAGCGGTATTTAGCCTGAAAAAAATCTATATTGGACAACATTAGAGCAAATGTAGTTTTATGTTCTTAGATTGTTCTGTTTTTGTCTTATTCCCCTACTTTAATATGATAGTAATAAATGCGCTTTTTTCTTTAAATAGACAGTGAACATTTCATTGTGGCGCTAAAGACATAGCAGATGTAACTATTTCTCATTTAAATTCTGTTATGTTATCTATGCAAGTTCATCATCTGAGAGGCTGATCAGAGTTGCTTCTTCTCTTCGATAATTTCTAGCAATATGATACAGAAAAAATGTCAACAAATCTACAATATTAAAATAACAAATATTTGACATTTAAATCAGTGAGATAAGCAATGTATTAGTTTATTTCAACTAAAATTTTAATTAATTATTATAAATGTTGTGAAAATAAGGATAACAATTCGAACGAATAAGAGAAAATTATATGAAGAGAGATGAATGGATGATATGATGTCAAGTTTTGCATGAGTAAAATGGATGCGAGACTATGCTCGCTTCAACGAAGAATTTCATGATGACCGAAAAGTGGACTTACGTGCATGCAAAAGCACACATATCATGAATTGAACACTGATTACTTCAAGACTTATCATGTCATAATAACGAATAAAAATGAAATAAAAAAATCAATAAAAATTCGCCGGAAAATTGGAATATAAATTGGAATATTGAAAACTTATTGGAATAAAAATTGGAATATTGACCGGACATGAATGATATTTTCCAACTTATTGAAGAAGAATAGCATAACCTCTCTTTAGATGCATCCATTTTTGCCAGATTTGTTGTAGATATTTGATTGCATTTAAGTAATTTTATCATTCCTTCGATGTTCTCTGCCGAATTTTCCATCTGTACGACAGTTAAATAAGCTAACAGAATGCTTCATAACTAAGATAATGTACAGCTTCCATAAATGACTTCCACTTGATAATGGGTTGTTTTCAACTACTGTTAAAATTTAACAGAGAATCAGCATCGATGGTGAGAGGAACGGAAAAAGAATTTTTTTCAATTTAGAGAGCAATTTTTTCTGTTTTACTTCAAACTTCAACATTCCAGTCAAAATGCCTTTAAGTCGTATTAATTCTATCAGCAAATTTAATCAGAGATAGTCAATCATCAAATAGATAATAGAGATTAAAAAGACATAGGATTAGGAGCGATGGCATACAGCTCATCAACTGGTCAGACGATGCGATGCTACGTACGTGAACAACAATGATTGTGAAAATGTTTTTGATGGAAATCTAAAGTACGAAATAACTCTACTAAACAATAAGATCATACAAGGCAGTGAGCCGAGAATATTGTGTCCTTAACAGATGCGCTCTGATTGGATTCACTGGATAGCCTACTATGAACTTTCTTAGTTTTTCGCTTTCTAAACATTATTTGCTGAATTTTCTTTCGCTGCAGAATCCTGGAATTTAATGGATTCTAGAGATCTGTATCCATCTTTTATATTCAGTAATAAAGAAAAGAGCAGATGATCAAAAAGATTCTTAACAAAATTTCTGAACTTATTTTTTGCAACAACTCAAAATGAACTCTTTATGATAAAAGGTGAAATAATTAAATTAAACTTCAGTTTTTCATGAATAATTGTTTCATCAAACAAATTAAAATAAACGGAAAAGATAAAACTCAAATTTCAAATCAAAAATAAAAAATAAAATCCGAAATAAACGTAGGATAGATAAACATCTTTGATGCCTTTCAAATTTGCGATGTAATTTAAATAAAATCATTTGAAAATCCCGTTAATTAATATCAGAAAGAATCATCAGGATATCCCATTAACTACTGCTTTTCTGCCTCAGTAAGATCTGTGAATGCAGCTGCTACCAATGTTTTTAATTTGCCTTTAGACTATCTAGCAATTTCGATTTAGTCGAACATGGTTCTTTAATTTAATAATTGTAACTGCAAGTCAGATTTTGAGTGTATCATTTGAATAAATGAACTAAATATTTAGCAGAATCAATACCTAGGTTCTCCAAATTAACCACCGAATAACTAATTAAATAGCAAAATACCAAAAAATAAGATAGATAGGCGACCGTTCCCAACCTATAGAATTATATAAAATAAAGCTATACTAATCTATCCTAGTTTATTATAATTAAACTTCAAAAAGTTGCCAAATAACCGCTACAATTAGAAATTAGTTTAAATTCTGATACGAACCCGAGAAATTAAAATTTTCACAACGGTGCAACGTTAATGACATAGGTTGTGTTTTGTTACGGACTGGAGAAGGAGGTCTGAATTTGTAGTTATGTCACTGGCTGTTCTCTCTCCGTCTTGCTTATAGTATATTTTTACCCTAACTCATTACTCTTTTTCTCCCTCTCTCTCTTCACACACTTCTGAACTGTTTTACAACGTCGTGAACTTTGGTCCTCCATGGAAAATAAATTATTTCGTTAATCCCAACCAATTTCTTCCCATAGTATTTTCTGGCCCTTTTCACCTGCTCTTGTCTGGAGTCTTTCATTAATTTTGGCTCTTTGTGCTTTTCACGCACGTCAATATTTTCTATCTGTGCGTGTACTTATATTCTTATATTTATACACGTTACCGTATCATGACCCACATATTTTACTACATTCATGAAAATCATACCTTAAGCCAAGTAACTTCAGAATATTATTATCAATGTCAAACAAGGAATTATTACTACGTGTTGAACACGTGAAATATCGTATGCCAGGTGCTGCTAAATCACCTGTTGGCACATTTTATGTTTACGAAGATCGGGTTGAGTGGTTGGATAATGCTTCGGATGAAAAGCTCGTTGTCTTTTTCAATGATATTAGAGGTAAGAATTTCACTGGAGTTGTCCAGGTGATGGAATTTGAACACGTTATTACACTGAAAAATTAAAAAAGTGAAGTGTTTTTCCAATTTTTTTCTTCCCTTTTTTCTTTCTAGGAAACTAAGTATAGTTTTGTTCAGGAAGTCATCGAAGCTAAATTTGAAAAATATGATGTACATATTTTATATAGACTATGCATCTTGCTTTTCATTTATTGAGTTTGAATCTTTCTGCTGTTTATAAAGTGCTTTCTGAATTTTAGGACAGCGGATCTCGCCACCAAACAAAACAAAAACGCAGCTCCAAATATGCAAGCATAACGACGAACAAGCAACATTTGTTTTCGTTAACCCACTTGGCAAGGAGGCAAGTTCTGGTTTGTCTTTATTCACGGTAGATTTGGAATCAGATGCGTAGTATCTGACGTCAATATCTAGCATTTATGATTTCGTGATATTTTTTATGTCTTCAATCTCTTTCTGATGTTCTCAGTACGTTACTTGTTAAATAAGTGTATATGTTCGGACTGTCAAATTGGCAGGATTATCTTATATAAAAGTTTTCAATATTACATGTGAGAAAAATATAATCATATCATTATCAGATGCATATAAAGGATCGCGATTTAGTAAAAGAAATGTTACAACAAGCGCTTATACATCACAGGCAGATTGTTAGTCAAGTAAGTACGCTTTGCTGAATTTCAAATTTTTGATTTTCATTTTGAAATTCCTAAGTAATCCGATTACAAAATTTGGGACCGTAAACTTTCTTGGTTGATGGGTGCGATGCTCATCAAATTTTGTTAAAATTACTTTCAGAATGCTGCACAGTCGTTGAAGTACAGTAAAGCAAAAGAATTAGAAGCAAAGAAGAAGATTTTAGAGCGCAACAAGCATTTGCAAGAATTATACAAACATTTGGTTGCGTCGAAACTGATATCTGCTCAAGATTTCTGGAGCGAGTATTATCAAAATGTAAGTTTGAAGAGAAGTATTGCTGGAAATCAAATTCTATCATAATAATATTTGTGTGTGCTAATTAGCTTTGTCTAACTTAATTTATCAATATATTCTTCCACTAAGTGCATATTCTGAAAAACACAAAATTATTGTTCTATTTCTAAAGCATAACAGTATCTCAAATATTATTATTCTTAAAACCATGAAACCTCAATAGCTATTCATTCATTGTAATTTATTGAATGAATTACTATTCCTTCAAATTTATAATAAAACAATCAATTCAGAAAGACGCGGATGGTGGCAAATTAGGTGTTTCAAGTGGATTTCTGAGCAGTATTGCTCAATCCGAAGGCACGAATGGAGTCAAGTTAAATCTCAATGTTGATACAATTCAGAGTATATTCAGAACTTACCCAGCAGGTTTTTCTAATCCCATCAAATTCTTTAGTTCTACCAAGCTATTTGAAATTTTTTTAACAGAACTAATTCAACTGCTCTTTAATTCCAGTTGAAAGGAAACATCTGGAACTAGTACCGCATGAAATGACAGAGCAAGAATTTTGGGCGAAGTTTTTTCAATCACATTACTTTCATCGTGAACGTGAGGTAGCGCCTAGTCCATCCGATCCATTTTCGGATTGTATTAAAGCAGATAATGCAGGTAATATTTAGTATTTGTTATGTTCATTTTAAAATGGATAATTATCACGTATTTATAATGTCAGAATTATCAGAGTGGATCTGCCGTTTGTCTCTTACTTTTGATTGTTCAAATAGTTCATTCATGTTAAATTGTTCCAGAAATGCGTAAACTACTCGATACGAAGATTGCTCATAAAACTCTCGATTTTTCGTACATCCATGATGATCCTTTAATTGTAGGTTATGGTTTTTAGTTCTTAAAAAGTGAGAAACATTCAGAAACCTAATAGATGAAAAAAAAGCTTTTTGTTGAATTTTGCAAGGATTTAAGCTTTCAGGATAGCGTACCATCCTTATCGCAATATGCTTCGTCATCGAAAGATATCTTGATGAAAAGGTTCAATTATCATTCAGAACGAGTTCTGCTTACTACTGCCGAAAATGAAGTACTGGCTGTCACCGGTTTGGAAGGACAAGCGAATGAAGAAAGCACGAAGGTATGATTTTTCTTGAAAAAGAGCAAGGAAAATTAACTTTTCAAGAATTGATTTTAACCGTTATTGAGTCTTGACGATTATTAAACGAAAAAGTTTAATGTGACATCTAATGCAGTCTACTTACCCTGATGACGATATAGTTACGCGACTCGGTTTTCTTGAGGGGTAATTAGGATGTCAGCATTAAACTTTTTCGTTTAATCTATTGCCAACTTCAACTTGCTGGTTCGAATCGTTTGGTCGTTTTCATTCTGAACTTATATCTGGTGGACGCTTCAAGTGTACTTTTACTCTATTTGATTATTATCAACTGAACAATGTAAAACTTCTTTGACTCTTAACTTCATCTTATTTACTTTTCTCTAGATGGGTAAACCGAAATCAAAAGAAGAGGATGAAAATGAAATAATATTAGAAAGTGAGGAACTGAGATCAGATAAGCGCGATGAAGACTTAGATCTCATTTCATTCGCAATCAATAATGTGGTTAGATCAACAAAACGTTATACCGATGAACAAGCACAAGCTTATCGAGATATTGTATTAAGGGTATGCGAAGCTATGTCAGAGAATGAAGATTATGATGACGTAAGTTGTATTCTATTATCTCCAAAGGAAATTAATTTGAAAAAAAGTATAGAATCCTTAAATTTCCCATTATTGACATTCTGATTCTTTTGTGTTTATCGAAGGCTTTTATTCTACAAAGTTAGCTTATTTTGCACAATTGCTCTTTTTCAGTTTCGTCTTCATTTTCAGAAAACGATTGCAGGATTTAGAGGACGATTCGAATAATGATTATGAAGATCTCTTAAAATTGGCCACTGCTGTTACAGAAGCTAGAAACATTGCACCAGAGTTGACTGCAACAGATTTGGTTGACTTACAAGCAATCCACGATTCTGTTGCCGAGCTATTAAAGCATTTTTGGATGTGTTTTCCGCCGACGAATCCTGACATGGATGAAAAAGTTAGCTTATTTTGCAGAATTTTAGAAATTTTTATGGAGCATTCACTTCTAGTCAGAAACGTCATTTTATTAGTAGTTAAATATTTTTCAGTTAAAAAGGATGAATGTAACTTTACGAAGTTTTGAAGAAAAAATTACTTCAGCGGAAGAACGATTTGGAGAAAAAAATGTGAGTGAATTATGAATATTACTGTCAAAATGCATTAGTAAAGTTTTGGAGATAAATCGGGTCACTTGTGACCTGTTTTTATCAAATTAGAGCCTTTTATCGTAATGGATTCAATCAGTTAATATTGCATGTTTTCTTTTGGAGACAGATGTTAGCCATGTCCGGCGGTAAGTTCAATCGTTACGAAACTTCTTGCACGGAATGTGTCAATACCTACTGTATTGGTAGTATGGCTGCTTTGAACCCACTTCAAAGATCCATTTTTCCGCATCTACATCTTTCGAATCAACTTGAGAGATAATAATTCGTCCAACAGTTATAATAACTGAATAATTAATGAGATCTCCGATACCTTGCTGAGAGTAATAAAATCTAAGATATTAAATCTTTTTAATTTAACACTTGTTTATGGAACACATTCATTTTTCTTGCTGTCAGACAGTATTGGATATCTATTTAGTGCAAGAATATATTAATAAATTAAATTAGCCAAAACTAATTAAATTGTTCATAGATGTAAACACCTATATAAACATTGTTATAATGGAATTTACTTTCAGAAATATTTTGTTTCAAACTACCACTATTATAATGCGTCCTAAGAATCCTAGGCAGATAGTTTCATTGCAATCAAACATTTGTACAATTCTTGCAAAACTCTTTTGTTTTACTGTTGAAATTTGGCAAATCACTAACTTTCGAGTTTTCCACTTCACTAACCACAATTATCCTGGATTATATTTATTATATCCTTTTTGCTACTGGACACCTTCATCACAATTTATTGTATTTTCTAGCAATTTTATTTTCAGCTTCTACGTTGTCGCCAAATGCTCAGTTTCTCTTACACGCGTTATGATGCATACTTGCAGAAAAAGAAGAAATAGGTTTTTTATAATTTAGATCCATTTTGTTTTTTGTGAAATAAAACAGTAGGAAATCATTTGCTACATTGTTGTACTTGCTTAGGATAATATCGAATTACTACGCTGGATTGAGAAAAACTTTATTATGCCTTAGCTCCTTTGAATTTCTTTCATGACTGCGCAACCTCTTCGCAGTTCTTCCCCTAAGTAACAAGTATTTCTCGATACAAGCAATACGTCTATATTTGGTGAAAACAACAACGTTTCGATTCTTACCGGAAATAAGTTGTAATTTGATTTACTTATACCTTGCAAGTCATATTCTACTTCAACATTCTTTCTGAAACCTGCCTAATGCGTGGGTGATAAATCAAGCTAATTGCAAGACATCTGTGAAGTAGCCCGTGAAAGAAAAGGAGGGTGCTTATCCCGTAAACAAATATCTGTTTTCGAGGTTTGACTATTGTTTATGTCCAGTAGTGTTTCACATTTGTCCAAATTTATATGTTGTCATGTTAATACGGGTATTATATCCATCATTGTTTTAATATCAGTCAAAAATTGATTTCTTTACTGATGAGCAGTAATTTTGTTTTTATCTGAATAAGAAATATTAGTAATTTCTACATCGGAAATGAGAATTTCATTTCATGTGTTTTGAACTATTTTGTTTAGAATTTTTTATTGGATAAAGATTTAATGTTGTTCTCGAGACTTCTAGAGATTTTTGTTTGTTCAATCTCTTAGCATAAAATGTTAGACCACTTTGATCATTTTTCACTTTTTTAATTTTCGTGCAGTTACTTGCAGAATAAAACATCGCAAATGATAAAATTATAATAATTTCCCATCATGATTATTGCAGGAACGATCCTGTTGACATATAATGAAACCAGGAAACTAAAAAAGTGATAGAGGAGGCCTATATCCAAATATATCAGCTATAAAAGGGCCTAGATGATAGTCGATTTTAGACTTGCCCATTATGTACTATCGAGATTAGTTTTGGAATATTTGAATTTGGATTATAACAACGCGAAATCTTCATGGTTCGTACATGTTACTCTGTTGGTTCGTCGTCTGCAAGTTCGATCGTATGTGTTTGATTGTTCGATCGACATCAGTATCAAATAAATGTCAAACTGTAATCTGATGGATGGTTAGTGCGTTATTGATGTCAGTACCAAGCTGCAGGATGAGTTTAACCTGCCTATTTTGATAGAAGTGGTGTTTTGTAATAATGTGAGCAAATTTTTCTTAGAAGTTTGTTTCATCATGATCAGTCCAAACAATTCGAATGCGTAATTTTTTGACAATTAAACGATAAACAATAGCTTACGAAACTCCCTTGAACTTAACAAAATATTGTAAGAGCATGCTCGGAATCCTAAAATTTGAACAAAATTCTCGTTGTAAGTCCCTATTTGCATCAAAAGAATTTGTAATTTCAATATAAAAGTGAGGTAAAATCTAAATTAATGGTTAATTTAACTGGAATCTTTACACTTTGATATGATATTTGCCTATTCATTTTCACTGCTCGGAATTTTTTTTTAAATTGTTGAGAAGGGATTTTTCTAAGGTTTTTCTCTATCATAAGCTAAAACATTATGTGATTAGTCAAAATAAAGAGAAATTAATAAATAAATACAATAAACGATCTAGGATGTTCGATTACGCTTAGAGCATTTCTTCCATTAGTGCTGAAATTTCCATTTTGAAATTTTATTTTCCCCAATATTGTACGAACTTTTAGCTAGCTATTATATATAACTACACTGGAAAAAGTAATTGCCATCGATTGTGCAAGAATTGATGACATAAGGCAGTCAAACAAATCATTCTTTTGAAAAGGTTTCAATTTAAGCGAATTATGAAGTAGTAAATTAAATTGAAAACTGGAATTAATTGTTTTAAAATACTTTATTAAATTTACAAATGTTATCCGGACTAATTTTATCTGATTTCCATATTGTTCATATTTATTTCCTTTTGATTTCATAACCATCAAATCAATAATGTAATCATTAAATTATTCCAAAAGAGAGAAAGAAGAAGAAATGATTTTAACGAGCAAATAGAGATTAGTTGTCTAACAAGAATTTTTAGGTATCATCGTGTTTACATTCTTTCTTGTCAACAAATATGTTCAATCTCTATGGTAATTTTTATTAAACATAAAAGAAAAACTGTCAATATTTTGTCATTGATTTTTTAAATTTAATAATAAATAATTTAAAGCACTAATTTCAAGATAATGTTTGACAAAGTAATTATAGTAAAATGAAATAATGTGTCAAAATGAATAGAATTGGAAAGAAATAATAATAGAATTAGGAAAAGTCAGTGAAAGAAATTGATTCGTTGATATCAAATAATTAAAAGATTGGGAAATAAATTGCATATGGAACGATGTTGCATAAATTTTCAAATTGGAAGTGAAATTTTATTAAATAGCAAATTGAATGGAAATATAAGAAATTCATATTGTATACGAACTGCTATGATAGCAAATATCACTTGCAAAAAGAATTCTTAGATTTAAAGATAAAAGTTTAATAATAATGAAGTACCATTGGACGAGGATGTGTCAGAATGTTTCTTCCAACAAGCGCCACTATAACATTAATTAATTACTATTTAAACAAGCTGTACATTTTTTTTACATTGCTTAATCGTGATGAACAAGCATATATCGTTGGCAAACTGTAGAATTAAAATTTTTCTAGAAAAACTATATCAGATGAATGTGAGGATTAAAAAAGTTCCAAATATTAATGTACTGCTAGCACTGATTGTTGATATTAGAGCGTTTTACATATGCTAAAATATCTTCAAATAATTTTCCTCATATTTTATTTCAGATTTAAATAACGAATTTAAAGATAAAAAGTTGTAAATATATTCATTTCTTTCAATATATTTCAAGAAAATACAGCTTATTACGTATTAAAAATGAATTGAATGAAAAATAATTTAAGGAAATAAGAATTGGAAATGCAATGTAAAAAGGTATACAAAATTCAATAAAGATAAGTTTGAATTTAAATGATCATTTCTGGCTGATGCAATGTGATGAATGTAGTACTAAAACTGTTAGTACTAAAACTGTTAAATATTCTCGAAAGGTAACAAAGTTTTTTTGAGATCTTACGCCGCATCCGATATTATGATTCATCACAAAAAGTTTTGCTTTTATTTTCTTTTGTTGAAGCAATTAATTGGGCCACTTAAGAAAGGAGAAACTTATTCGCTCAAGCAAAAATGATATGATAACTATTATATTTAAGACAATTAGTTTTAAAAATACCTGAAACAATTCATGAAATAGTTGAAACATAAAAGTAATTACTCATTTTATACCGTGAAGCAGGAAAAATATAAAGATCACATTTAAGCAAAGCTGAGCAAATGAAACAACCGAATATCAGTCACTGTTTTATTTTAAATTTGTTATCAAACTATGATTTAAATTTGATTTTTTTAGTATCATTTTTAAAAATTGAAAAAGCCAGTTATCTCTTCCTGATTGCGTTTGGAAGAATGATTCAAATATTTTCGATTATTACCATCTTTCAGCAATCATGATTCAATGATGAATCATCTATCATCTTGATTTATCTAGTCTTCGTTTTCAAAATATCATAAAAATTTTAATGGAATTTTTTAAATTTTACAGTTTCTTGTCAAAAAGTTGGGAACCTTTTTGTCAGTCAATAATTAATAAAATGCGCATTATTTATTCTAAAAATTAAGCTGTGGAAGTTTTGCATACTTCATTGTTGTGTACAATTTTACACATTATTGAAATTAAATAAGTCCTTCAATACTAGGAGGCTGCAAATAAGGTAAATTTTTGGCATGTTGATATTCTTCGAACTGTGGTCGATATTCACCGTGATTGCGACGTCGTTCTTTTAATTTACGATAGCCAATATATCCACCAATAACAAGACCAACAAATACAACCTGAAAAATTTATCTAAATCTTCAACAATTCTTAATTTGATAAATTTTGATTTATTTGATGACATCCTTTCCGCTTCCTTTTGTTTTAAAAAAGGAAAAGTTTTAAAAACATCAAAGTGGAATATTCCACATTCTACCCGTCTTACTATTTTCTGTTTATTTTTATTTACAAAAATATATCTACGATGATAACATCACTTTTAAGTTAGATTAGATGAAAAAAATTTAAGACGACAGATGCCATTTCTTTTAAATTTCTCAGATTGTTGATGTGTCATTATTTGTCACAGCTTGAAATATTCGATGATAAGTGTATCACATGTATCTTGTAATAGTGTAATTTCCTTTTTTATTATACTATATCAAAATCCGAAAATTAAATTTTAGTGAAAGCGTGCGTGGGTGATACTATAATCGAAATCAAATTGCATTCCTGCGATTTTTAAAATGCTGATGAAATATTTTTGCCAGAATTTGTATGAATTCAATAATAAATCAATTCATAGAAACAAGTAAATGACTTCGATGTTTCTATCAACTTTGATTATTAATTGAAAGAAACATTAACTACATTGAATCTCTCTCACTCAAAAATACTCTGAAATCTCTAATAGTCTCCAACTTAATTAATCTTAATTAAGTTAAAATGTAAATATTTTTTCCGAATTATCATCATGGAATCAATTCTTTTATTTCAAAGCAATGATATTTCGTAAAAATAGTACTTACCAGAAGAATAGTTATAATCGGACCTATTCTACTACCGCTTGAATCATCAGATATTTCAGTTGCGCTTTTTACTACAGTTGTTGGAAACATTGTCGTGTTATTTACTTCAGACATTTCCAATAGCAATTATGACATCACTAGCATAGGCTAGCTATAATAAGAAATAAGGTACCAGTAGTATTTGCAACAATAGCGATAAATCGAACAGCATTCGGACAGCAATAATGTGCTGTCAATAATTTCCGGGATATTTCTAAAACGAAATATTTTTTTTTCAGATCTGATATGATTAAAATATAATATACAATGTACGTGATAACAACAATTTTGTATTTTTAAAATAATTCCTGCTAATGTTATTGAATGTAGCTTCACGGAAAATTGATGGTTTGGCTTGCACAATACAGGTGTAAGCGAATTTCAATATTCAATTTGAAATAAGTTGAATAGGATTTTTTGATACTGTGTCCTCTTCGACAAATTCTTAACAAAGATAGTTTACTTATCAATTATATATTCAGGGGAAAATTAAAAAGAAATTGAACATAATGAATGAACGAAAAAAAGAGTGAATAATATTATTTATGAATATTACTTCTTTTCTATGAGAGTTTTTCAATGCTTTTAAGAAGTTACTTCTCATTTCATCGCAATAACTCATTAACAAATATTCTAATTTATTTTGTAAGAAAAATTTGAGGTAGTTTATGTAATATAATTTTTTTATGAGACTTCTTTGAAAGACGGAAAAATGATAGTATCACAAGTTATAACAATAATTTCAGTGCTCACATTTCAAATCCAGATTTAATAGATCTTTCCAAAATTAACTTAATTCCTACTTTGCTTTTCTATCGTGAAACTTTACACAAACAAAATCTCAGCTATCCAGTTTTTTTTAAATCAACCAGGTAAAATCTCAAACAAGGTCTATCGTTGGTCTCAAAAATCCTTTTTCTTGCCCTCCTAAAGTATTTTCTGTTTTCTAAGAATTTCATGTTCCCGAATAAGAAAAGAAAAATTATTTATCACTAGTTACCAGTGAGTAGTTAATTATATCATTTATATTAATCCATGAAAGTGAAACAAATAATATGATAGAACAAGACTTGCAAAGTTTTCTATATTTCAAACTTTTTCTATTGTTGAATTTCTCTGCATTAAAACGCACAAGGAAAATCTTTTTTATAAATCTTCTGAAATAAAAAACAATTAATTTCTATATAAAAATTAAATTAACCAATTATTGTGTTCGACGTAACTGTGTGATACGTCCACTCTTCATTTACTGTGTGATACTTTCATTCTTCAACTACTGTGTTTTATGGCTCATTCAAAAACGATAAATTTAAGATATTATTATTTGTGGGAAAGTCTTTTAAGCAAATGATTTTTGATAAAGCAAAGAAAATAATTACAAAAATGATAAATCGTCTAAATCAAATCAAAAATAAGAAATTAAAGAAGAAAATGTGATATGTATAAATGCATATTTACATAAAAATATTATTTTGTATTACAAAAAATTTAAAATCTTCGGAATTCATAAAATAGCTGAAAGCCATTATGCAAAAAATTACTGAATCTTTCCAATACACTAATAAAACCTAACTATCAAATCAATTCTCAAATTATCAGTAAATAAATTCTGAAACCTTTGCTAATCAATCGGATAATAAAAATCATGCCAAAGATTACTTGTAACATTATCACCTATTTTATCATTCGAGCAATACGATATGAAGTTTTATTCTTCTCAAGCAAATAATGATTTAAACAAACTTCTTCTAACCAATTCAATAAGTCATTCAAGCGCAATATACTTCAACAATGCTCTATACATTCATTTTTTAAAATCAAACTTATTATATCTGACTCACTGTAATGGCATAAAAGAAAATTGAGAACATGTTCGCGAATAGCAATATAAGTGATATCAGGTAGGAAAAATGAAAAAGTATTCTAGAATTCTTAATGACGCTTAGGGCGCTCTTGTCTATCTGCACCAACAATCTGTCATAAGGGTTATTCTACACGATGCTAATATTATTGAATCGTTTTTTTTTTTGCAAATATATCAATATAAAAAATTAATTTGAAGAAATTTCCGATAATTAATTGTTTAGTATTATTTCAATGTTCGGATAGAGAAGGTAATATTCAAATTGGAATTTTCGAAATAATTGAAATATTTCAGATTAAAATGAATAAATTTTAAATGAATTTCAAAATTCATTCATTTCGGTCTGAAATATTGAATGAATTATTTATTTATTTATTTATATGAATTAATTCTTTTAAAAAATGAAAAGATATAAAATGAAAAAAATTGAACTATAAATATTAAAGGAACTTCAATATCTGTCATTTACAATTCGATAATTCAACGATATTTATAATCAAATATCCTAATAGGATTTTAGATAAAATGCAGCTAAGTGATATTGATGTAAGCGATTCATGTAAATATATATCAGCGTAATTCAGCAGGAATATTTTGAAAACTAATACATAATACAACGTATCGTATAGTGGTCATAAGATATGCAATAGAATTTGATCAGCTCTAAATACAACATAAAATTTAGACCTCGACAAATTTGAAAAAACTATATCGCACTATTTACAATCTAACAATTAGTAAATAAAATGATTGTTTAGATGATTGTTTTGCTTGATGCATTATATTTACTTTATATTATATCATTTTATGATTAAATTCATTAATTTTGTTAATTATATGCATAATTGTTTAATGCTGATTTATACGATATTTTCATATTTTATCAAATAAAATTCATGAAAGCTGGAAAAGAAATATGAATAATTTTTTTATTTATATGAATTAATTCTTTTTGAAATGAAAAAAATTATATATGACAGATATTAAAGGAAATAAATTAGTTCAAAGAAATGTGCGACATTTGCGCTTCAACTTAATGCTTCATTCCCTTATTAATTAGAAAAAAACAAAAAAATGCTATGAATTTTGGCAAATTTTATGAATTGATGACAAAATATTACAGTGACAATTACGAAATGAAGAAAAAACTAACTAGGCTGAATGGAAATATGCAGATAAAAGCTGTCAATTTTTCTCTCTCTCTCTCTCTCTCTCCCTTCCATTTCTATTTACTATCCTTTTCAGTCAGTTATCTTTGCGTCATTCTTAGAGACATCTTTATTTGGCATTCTTCTCCCCGATACACCGGTCTATTACATCATCATTACATGCTATACCATGAAACTGACGGGAAATTGTCACTTCATTTCATTCTAATCGAACCAATTTCTGATATTCATTCAAACGTTACCTCTTCCTTTGTCCGTCTATCTACTCTCAAATTATTTTTAAAAAAACAAAAATTTGGTAGCAAGAAATTGAATCTGATGATATGCAAAAATTAGTATAACCATTGTTTCAAAATTAAAATATCAATTAATAATTTCCCAGTCCAGGTGTAAAATTTCCTGTCCACATAAGTTATCGAGAATATAAGAAACATTATCGTGTGAAATCTATTCATTTTTACTACAATTTTTGACTTATTTATTTAAATTTTAAGTGGTAGAAAGGTAAAACAGCAAAGATCAAAGGTCAACCTCCAATGTCTATGAGTTGAATTAGAGAAAAGAACAAGTTTGAAATGAATTATTCAACCGGAAATATTTTTAAGCTGCTCGAATATTTTATTGCACTATGAAGAATTGAAAAAAACAATATAATTATCATTATATCTTTAAGAAAAAAATAATTACATTCATGAAAGGCAGATTTAGAGCAACATTTATATGGTCCACCAAATGCTTATATACCGGAAAGTTATATTCTCTTAAATCAGCCATTAATCGATCAATCATTAATCGAAGAGCTATTAAGTAATATTTCAAATCCACATGTATTTCAAAAGCTCAGCTATATGTATTGTTAGCAATTCGGTTAGGAACTTTAGCTCACTTACTTATTACTTAATTATCAATAAGGATCCGGTAGTCAGCAAGCAGTTACGAGTTTTATCAACTAAAAATCTGAATGATAAAGACCAGAAAATAATTAAAAACTAGAGCAATTGGATGCTAATATCGCTATTTAGCATAAAGTAAATTTATGATGAAATTCTCAAGATTTCCTCCTGAATATATATTCTATAAATAAATGAAATCAAAAAAGGAATTGACAGGCTAATGCAATCAAAATTTGTTAGCAAAAAAATTGAAATTTTAGTCTCAATTTTTAGAAAGATAAGACGGATTTGTTCTGTGACAAAAATCTAATGAATTTCCTGAAATAAATTTCAAAGTTTTTAAAATTGATGTAAAAAAAGGATATGACGAAATAATTCTTTCAATTGAGAGATTAAATTGAATATCAATGAGGGATTTTTGTTGAATCATTGCTGAACTTTTTGTTTATTCGATCATTTTAATTGAGCTTTTAATTAATAACACATTTACATTTAACAATGTTATCATTGATGATAATAAAATGAATTTGAAAAAAATTCATTGATTTAATAACAATTCAGAAATTATTTAAAAGAAATAATCGCCTTAAAATTTATAAAATATTAAAAGGTAATTATTCAAAAAAAATTCACTGAAAATTAGTTTAGGAACTTTATTTGGAAGAAAAATCAATGAAAATTTTTGAATAACAATAGGCTTCCTGTAAATAGGCTAAGCTGAACTTTTAATACTCATTTTTCCATAGTTTTATATTAAATTAATTGATAGAATTCATCAATTGAAAGCGAAGGTGATGGAGATGGTAGATATATAGAAAGTAAGTTACTGAAAATGAACTGATCTGCCTAACTTCAAGAAAAAACATAAGAGCTGGAAAATAGTTTAGTGATAATGATCAGTAAAATAGACTCAATTGATCTTCTAGGAAGTTTAGATAAAGCAGCTATTGCTTTAAATCTTCCTGAAGATGTGAAGCAGAAGTCTTAGTGGAAATGTGAAAATATAAAGAAATAGATGGAAATCAATGACGAAATCAGTTTTCACTATCAGAAAGTATAGTAGGAAGTGGGATTGATAGATTGATAGAAATGTTAGGTCAAAGAATTCATTTGTATCATCACTTATCATTTCAATTTTGTTGCTAACGGTCAGCTTATCAGCGAATGGCTTATTTGTTCGTCTACTACGACTACTAAGACTGCATAAAATGAAAAATTTCTTAATATTTTATTATATCTGTGAAATGAAAGACAAAACATTATGAAGCGGAAATATTGTATGTCAAGTGATGATTGGCAATACTTCAGCATGAAAAATTCATAAATATGCTAAAATTCCTAAAAAGGAATGTGAATGTGAGGATGAAGAAAAGATAGCAAAGAACAAACATTTCTGTTTAATGTAAAATTGAATCATCCCAGTCGAGATCAGACCCGAAAAAGCGCCCTTTCCTGCTTTTGTAAACAACGCAATTCGTTACCAGCAACCAACCAATCATCACCACCACCATCATTTAAATAATGCAAAATGCTCAAACATATTGATTATTATTTGAAATTTATCTTCCTAACATTTCTTACAATTCAACTTATATTTACATATCTCAACTCTTCTGGTAACAATTCAATCAACAAATTGATAAAATTTTTTCCATAATTAATTGTTCTTGAAATTAGAAGTAATTCAAGGAAGATTCAAACTTTATATTTGACAAAGTTCTGCCATAATACATCCGACAATTTCTAATAATCTTAATAAAACAAAACTTTCCTATCATTATCTAACATCCAAATGGTATCAAACAGTGTTTTAATTATTGTTGACAATAACTTCGGCACAAATTATTTATTAAAAGAAAATGTTTAAATTCATTATCTTTTTTAAATTCGAAGCTAAAAGTTAGCTGATCATTTAATTTTCTATTTGAAATTTATCTGATCATCATTTCAATGGGAATAAGACAAAGATGTAAACAGTGGCTAAAGATGACATTAAGTGACAACGAAATATAATTCAATCAATGTTGACAAAACCTGTGGGCTGACTGGTTGCTTAGTTGCATTTTATTGATTCAACAAAACTTATGCGCTTCATTTCGTATTAGAATGATTCAATCATTCATATAACTACCTTGCACTTCCTAAATATTCAACTTGATATTTTTTCATTTCAAAATCGAAGTATGCAACGACACTTTCAAACAAAAAAAAGATTCATTTACAAATGATTAGCTTAAAAGCATTTCTATCCAGAAAATTCTAATTTTGTGCTACGCTGCACTATTAAAAGAGAAATTTTAGTATGATTAAAAATAAATGAAATGTATGACCTTGAAAAGAGAAAATTTTGCTACAATTAAAAATGGAAATGAAATTATGAAATTGAAATTTAATTTTTCGTTGCAGATCATTCAGAAGTACGATTGCATTCTTAATGAAAGATGGGAAAATTAAAGAAACACATAAGGAAATATTTGCGCTTGTAATTATGCTCATATCAATTAATTTGAAAAATGAAATTACGCACATTGCAATGAAATGCAACGTATCATAAAATAATATGACACTAAATGTTAAGCTTACAAAACTTTTAGAAAGAAATTTTTTTAAGAAATTTCGATTAGAAATTCATAAGAATAAATTTAGAAACATAAATTTTAATTTCATATTAAAATGTAAGCTAAAAAAAAGTGTATAAAATTGAAAAAAACAATGAATTGCTACAAGAAATTCTCATATGAAAGAATAATTTATAATCAAATTATAAAAATTCATTAACTAAAAGATATGAAATAATTTAATATTGATTGCAATTTAAGAGAGTTGCATTATAAAAGAGAAAGATGGAATACCAACTGCGTTGTTGACAGACTTATTATAGTTTCCATCCAGAATTTCTTCTACTATACATTTGTTCATACTACATCATATTTCATAATTATTGTTGTTAAATTATTCGTTTCTCAATCAACAATAATTTGAGTTCCTTTACATAGCTTAACAACAGAACTTTTATTCTCTCCCTCTCTCTCTTCCTTTCTCCCTCTCTCTCTCTCTCTCTCTTTCTTCCCTCAGATAGCATAGAAAATTTTTGACCTTATTTGGCATGTATGCGTAAAATTATATTTGCATAAAGCCAAAAAGTTGCTGAAATATTAATGGTTCGTTTTAGAATTTTTGAAGTAGAATTTGATTTTCAAAGATTAATTACTTAACTTAAATGGATATTAAATTTTATGAATTTTCACATATCGTTCCGTGTTTTCATCCCATAGCACTGAACAAGAAATATGGAAACTTTACATATGCTGCATATATTAAAATGTAAAATGAGATCTGGCATTTTAAACCATATCATTTTTATTGAACTAATTAATAGTGAAAATCCCTAGCGGAAAATGGCATCGATTAGAAACTTCAATATCAGCATTAGAAAATATGAAATGAACGAGAAGACATTTTCAATTCAGTATTTGAACAAAAACTGTTGGATGTAAACAATTTGAAATTCGTTGTACAATAAATAATCATCTGGTCAGTATGATCAGTGATAATCTATTTATAGAAAAACTGATAACCTAAGGAAGGATCCCTTATGGGACATCAATGGAATGGTATAATATTCCATTTTTTTAAACAATGAATTATAAGATTTCATTGCAAACTTGATATTCTTCATTTTCTTTGAATCCAATATCAATTGCATTTTAAGCGTTAATTTTTAAAAATAATTTAAATAAATTATAAATATGTTAAATTTGAAGTGCATTTAAAAGGAGACATAAATCGAAAATGTCTCATATGAAATTGAGTAGAAATAAAAGAATGGCTTTTAAAAACTAATAATGCATCTTTTAAATATTAAAAAGAAAATCAGATCTTTACATAAATCAATATACAAGAAATTTGATTTTCTTGGAAGAAAATAAGGCAAGAAAGGCACATTGAAATATACGCAAAATAATTATTTGAATTCAAAATGATTTCAATACACTGAAATTAAACTGCAAAGCAATTAATACTGCCTTTAAGCCTTTTATTATGTTTTCATTTATTTGATAAGTTTAAGAATGATAAACAATTAAGTTTTGTAATAATACAATGAAATTAGTTGAGTCGTAAACATTTAATCTTAAATGAATAATTTAGTGTTTAGTAATTATATTCGTTTGAATGTTTTTACTTATTGGAAAATTTACCAAAATAGCGAATTTGTTAATCTCATACAAAAAGCAATTATGAACTAGAATTTAAAAACTGTTGAGAAACTAGAAATACAGCAGATAATCATCAAAATACTGCAGCTACGATCCGAAAAGAAAGAAACTAAAAATGAACAAATATGACGTCAATTTAAACGGTGTAATTTATATCATTCAAAAATTCTGAAAATATTACCCTAACCTTCAGTCATACCTGTTTCCAAGTTTTTAATTATAAAGTAGGAGAAAAGCATAAAGCAAAAGAAATCAAAAATGAAGTAATGCAGATTGAAAAAAAGGGGGCAGTTTATTAGGATTTACTCTGAGAGTCAAATGGTTAATTCATATTTGTATGAAACAGAAAATGAACCAACCGATTGGTTGGTTCTTCGCAAATAATCAATCAACTTTTTGCATAAATTCATCTTTGTTTGTTGTCAGAAACAGAATTTGTTTTCGATTAAAAGCAAATGTTTTTGAATGAATTATAGTTTAATATAATGAAAAATGATGCATTTTTCACCGTATATTCAAATAAAAGCAAGTGACAAAATCGCATTAAACATTTGAATATGTGAGAAAGAAATCATTTCTCGAATTAATGCAAAATTGATGATGAAGATGATGAGGACGATGATGAAATATGGTAATGAAAGAGAGACATTTCATACATTTCTTCAACAAATTAAAATTTTAAAATTGACTTGACCTTTTTCTCCCTCTCTTCCCAAAGCTCATTATTTAACTAACTAATATTGGAATAAATAATAAGATCATTAATTTCAAGAATTTGAATTAATAAAAAATGTAAGGAAATTGGGACTAGAATATTGAAAGATCATTGAATTGAGAATCAGTTTCGACTGGAAGGTTTCGCTCATTTGATAAAAAAGCTGTGGGAATTTAAGGCCAAAAAAGTATTATTAATGATATTAGTAAAGAGAAGAAATGAGTTTCTATCCGTAAGCTACCACCTGTTTGTTCCTCATGTGTTATCACACCATCATCAGTTTTATCTTTTTCATCAGTTAATTCAGGTAATGGATCACCATTATCATCATCCACAGGTGGAAGTATTTCACCAGCTGAAAAAAAAATTAATAAAAGATGATAACTAAAAATTGCCCGTCGCTATTTCAAAATTTAATTTCAAGGTAAACATCATTTCATTCCATTATTGAAATTTTTGATTACTTTCACATATAATCTGATTAGAAAAGCGACAACTTAGCATGCTAACATAAGTGCTTAAAATTAATGCTATGATTGAAGTAGATAATTAAATAATTATGTTATGTTTACCTTTCATATCGCTATCTTTACTTTCTTCCTGTTCATGTCCTCCACCATATTCATCAGTTTCCTTTGCTTTATTGTCGGTTATTTCATCTAAATCCTCTCCTTGAAATTGATCATATCCCACCTTGCTTATACTATCTTTTGAGAGTGGATCCATCTCAGTGAAATCAGTCGATTCTGATATTTCATCTTCTGACACCTCGTTTTCTGCCTCTACTCCACAAGTTAGTCCTGTGAAGCCTTCGCGGCAAACACATTTTCCACATTCACAGGTACCCTGTCCATTACAAATTTTCTGAAAAAAAAGACAAAAATTCCAGAAAAATTAAATATATTACTAATTAAGTTAAAATAAAATTTCCATGGAAAAAGTTCAAAGTTAGTCATAGAAATATTAAGAAGGAAAGAAGTAGGAAATCAGCTTTATTATTTAGTAGTATTTTATACAAATAGAAACATTTCATTGATGCTTATGAAAGAAATGATATATAGAAATGTTTTTAATATAAATCAAAAAATTCTTTTAAATAACTTACACCGCCTTCCATACATGGCGAAGTATCAAGAGCGCATGAGCAATCATCTCCAGTGTAGCCTTCCTCACAATGACATTTGCCACATTTGCATTCACCTTGGCCTGCACACATTCTATCTTGAGAAATTGGACATGACATATTTTCGCATTCGCAATAGTCTCCATGAACCTAAAATGGTTTCATTTGAAACAGCTTCCTCATATCCCTTTAAAATTATTAAATTTAATTGATTGAAAAGGAGAAAAATTCGTCCGCTATAATTTCCACAATAAATAATAGCTTCTTGTTTTGGCGTGCAAATCGAAGTATAAAATTCTTACAATTTTCAAATTCAGCAACAAAAATATCTATTCATTCCAAAATAAATCTTTTGTTATCTTTAACAATTAAATAAACTTGAACATTTAAAAAAGCAAATCAATCAATTCATTTATTCAACATTGATGAAAAAACTTCTCATATTTCCCTGCATTTCTTCTAATATTAGGAAAACTTCTAAAAGTAATTTATAACGCGGTAAAATTGTATGAATAAAATTGCGAAGTAAACTAACATGTTCAACATTGCAAACACAACTACCGCATTTACATTGACCATTACCGCTACAAATAAAATCATTCGGAGTTCTGAAAAAATTTTAAAAATGTCTAGTTTTTATCATTTTTTGATTTATTATGATCAGAATTATCACCCTAACTGAGCTATCAAGCAAATAAAAACAATTTATCGTTTTACAATGTGAATTCAATTTTTGAAGTATGAAATATAATATTATAATGCAACTTAATTGATTTCACTTTTTTGAATTTTAATTACTTAAGTTCAAAAATCGTCATAAAAATTATCCATTCTTACTTTTGACATTTATTTTCTAACTCCTGCGCTGTTGAGACGCCATGCTCTTTTAAATCACATTCACAGTGACTTCCACCTTTACCAGGTTGACATTCGCATACACCACAAATCAAATCTCCTGCTCCATAACACAGCGGTGATTTTCTCTCCTAAAAAAATTTGCTTAAATAATATAAGCTCTAATATATACCTGTAGTTAGCATTTAAAATGTTTCAAACAATTAATAACTGTAATCAATGAATATTCTATTTTTAAACAAATTATATCTTTTTTCAATTAATCAAAAGGTAATTGCAAAACTTTTGCATAATGGTAATATATTTCAGTGTTCTTCAAAAAAGCATTTGAAATAAAGACTAATGTTTTGAAAAAATGATAAGCGAATATGTGACAGAGATAAGGAAGTCTCGATTACTTGATTTTGCACTTTTTCACATTCGCAACCACAAAATGGTGTGATATACATAGCGGAAACGGTCTGATAGCCATATGCGCCAATGGAAACCGCAATATCGCCTCCCGATTTACATTCGTTCAAAGATACTTTCGCAAAAAATTCGATTTTTTCACCGATTGAAACATTTGGACATTGTCGTCCGTGTACTCGCTTTCTGGAAACATTTTTGGTACAATATTTTCTTGTTTCTTTTGAATTAAATAATCGTTTGAAAAAAAGAAGATAGAATAATTGTTCTATTCCAAGTAAATATATAAATGAGATATAGAAGATTCAATTTTGAAAATGCAAAAAAAAAACAAATTTGATAATATTGGATATGTTTTATCAATCTTTTTAATTCGAACTGATAAGCATTTGAAATAAAGAGTAATGTTTTAAAAAAGTGATGAGCGATAAGAAAGTCTCGATCAGGTAATCCTAATTCTCACTTCTTCACACTTATATGAAAACAATGAATGAATTCATGAATGAATTCTTGTTAATTTAAACGAAATGTTCCTTATTTTTATGGCACGAAAGATCACAGTATTATTAAATGTGGACTATTTGCAAATATTCAATAGCAATATATTTGATTATAATTTCAAATCTGACAAAACAAACCCTGCACAAAGGATGGAAAAGTCGATACCGACACCCAATGATCGAAATTCGCTGGTTTGTATGACAAAATCACGTTGATTTGATTGTTGTGGCCTATGAAGATATTTGAATGGTACTTCCAGAATATCGCCTAAAAACGAAAAAGGGAATCATAGAGATGTGATGGATTTAAATATGTATGTAAATATTGCAATGTTTTTGATATACACTGACCTTTTGAATTTGCAATGGATGAATAAATTTAATCTTTTAGATAAAATATAGTATCAGTAAAGGTTTGTCACTTAAAGTGCACCAACAAAATGCTAGAATCTGAACAATTAATCGATTCATATCATTTTTCATAACAATTTTGTAATTATGATTATTTCATATACAACTAATTATAGGAGGAAGCTTTTATAAAAAGAATAAATGAACGGGAGAGTGAAAGATTAATTTTAGTTTAAAAATTAGAAATTATATATATATAAAGCTTAATGAAATGAAGAAATGGCAATTGCGCGAAGTATTTTATTTCAACAATTGCGGCAATTATAGGAAGTGAAGAAAATTGGCGTAAAAATGAATTTTTGTGAAGTATTGCTTGTGATTGGTAGCAAAGAAAGATGGATGAAAGTAATAAAATATCAGTGATTGATGAAAAAATTTGTGACGTAAAATTTTGTCACATAAACACAAATAATTAAGATAGAGGAATTAAGTGATAATAATTAACTTATAAAATTTTATCATATAGTTAGTATAAGTTATGGGATAAAAATGAAATGACCACAAATGTTTTCCATTCATTATTTATTTATAATTACTTTATTTATTTGTCCAATTTTGCTTTTAGCATTGAAAAATAAAAGTTCGAAAATGAATAAGATTATTTCATTCAGAAAAATTTTGCTCCTACATTTCCTATTATATGTTTATGTTGAAAATGAAAAATTTTGTTGAAACATGTCAAGATATGATGATTTGCTGATTTGAAGAATTTTCAACAATAAAGGCCAGTAATATGATAGGTAAGTTTTGTTTGATGCATAAAAGCTAACCAATCAATCGGTTTTGATAAGCATTTCAGCCGCCAATAATAATAGTAATTAATTAATTATAGTTATAGTATGGAATTTGAGTATTATTTGACGTTGTTTTTAAAAATGTTAGAAATTTTTTATTTTTCGAAAATTTTCTTTAGTTTCACTTTTATACAACAAATGATAATCGGTCTGTAAGTATGCTTGTATCCTCCCTGTCTGCTATTTTCTTATTTATACATAAAAAAGTGCATAATCACAAAAATAACATACACTTTGTTATTTTTTAAAAATTGCTTCTCAAATTTCAATTTAGTTTACTAATAAGAATAAAGAGAAATTCGTACATCGTTTTCTACTTTTTCTTTTTTTCAAATAAGAATTAGCGGTATTTGAACTGAATTACAAAGTCTGAAGATGACAAAGGATAATTTACAGCTGACTAAAGTATTATGTTGTTATTTGAAATGATATTGCAAAGTATAGGCACAATAACAAAAGATAAACTGACAAATGAAAATTGAAAACTAAATAACCAATAGTTTAAGCTTTTTCAATTCCATCAAATAAAAGGTATTTACAAATTTTCGAAGATGCATCCATTTAAAAAATGAATTTTAGCAAAAAAAGTATCACAAAGCCATTTCAAAATACGAAACAGTTAATTTTGATATAGCCATCAATTCAAATATAATGAGAATATGAAAGTGCTAGAAAGAAAAATAATCATCATTGGAATAATTTCTTATAGTCGAATTTGAAAATGAGAATTCCAATATTTTATAGTAATTTTAACCACATCAATTTAGGAATAAAACTTTATAGCAGTAATAAAACTATAAGATTCTGAGCCTTAGGCCATGCCTCAAATTCTGTCATTTTCATGAAACAGCAGATCTAACAAATTATTACTGATTTTATGAATTGCAAGCTATAAAATATAAATAAAACATTACCAGGTTTCATCCTCAGAACAACTTGTTGTGGTTCGAGTTGTACAATCGTTGCACCATCTGCCTGTTTACTGCCTAATGGCAAATTCTGCAATTGAAAATTAATTATTTTTTGGAATGAAAATTCGAGAAAGAATAAATTCAAAAAAATAAACAATATTTTATTATATTTCCAAAATTTCAGGACAATAATGTGATGATTTCATAAATTTCAACCTATAAAATGTGAATAAAATCATAATTTAGAATGATAAAAACTGTTACAATCTGTAAAATTCAAATACTTGAATACTTCTAAAATTTTTAAAACTAAAAATTAAAAAAATTTCAATTTATTACACAAAAATAAACATTACATTTTGAGGTACAATTCGAACTTCTGTTGTAGGCGAATAGATTAGCGGTGGTGCACACTTCCCTTGAAATTCCGATCTCAGATCGCATCGTGATGGGCCTACCAAATGCTATAAAATTTCAAAGGTTTACATACTTCATTATAAATTCAACAAAAGAAAGTATTAATTTATCATGAAGTATATTGCATCATGTCTTGAATTTCTTTAAAGTTCTTCTCCTCGAAAAATTTTCATAATCAAAGTTTCAGGTTTGATCTATTGATGAGCTGTTAGTGAGTAAGCCTTTTAGGTTGAACTTGAATGACTAAACCTTATATTAAATTGATTTAATTATGGTTCTGAAGTTTAGTTTTTATATAGTTTTCTCTCAAATTTTCAGTTTTCAAAAAATCAATTTTCATTTATACAAAATTAAAGTATCTTTTGAATGAAGGAATGAATAGCTTAAAGAAAACCAGATCAAAATCAATTCTGGCTCATACTCTACTTTAAAAAAGTTTCTAAGAAAATAAATAAAAAAGAAATCACATAATTTGAGTTCATAGGTAATCTATGAATTTCATATTATTTTAGGCAATTTGAGAGCTTGCAAAGCACTAATAACCTGAATACACTTTATTGTTATTAAATTCTTTTTGCTTTAATTTAAAAATGAACGATAACAAAAACAATACGCAACCGGATCGAGACACCATGCACATTCCGGATGCTGTTTGATACATTGTCCACAACTTCGGCTACCCGATGTATTGGTACATAATTTCCTCACATCCTTTGCAAATACTGAAACTTTTAAAATTTAATGAGCAATATTGATCAATTTCTAATTACCATAGTTTATGAATGAAATTCGCCTAAAGGAAATTACTGCTTACCATCCACTACAGTGATGAATAAAGCAAGCAGCGAGTATATGTGGGACTTCATTAGATGGAAATCAATTTCGAAATACCTGCAAATATTTTATATTATAAAATTATAATATAGTAAAGAATTAAATTTTCACAATCAAATGCGCCGTTTTTAAACATTACAATTAATAAACACATACAATCTATAATTAATCAGAAACTTTTTGTTTCTTTTACATTTTGAAAAATGAAATCAAATTTAAAATAGTCCACGAAAAAAGTATAAAATGAAAGTTCACTTGCAATTGTTTATAAAATGTTATGATAAATTTGAAATTAAGTATAAACACAAACAATCATAACTTTGCATATCTTTGGTTACTCTTTTACCTAAGTAAATCCCTACTTTATTGAAATATTCGTGGCAAAGAGCAGACAGAAGCCTTTGGAGATATGTTAACCCTACGTAATATAAATAAAATATCATTAACGCTTGCTATTAATCCATTTCATTTTAGTCAATTTAATTATTGGCAGTGAAGAACTGATAATTTGTTGTTGATAACTGGAACTGGAAGGAGTTAAGATCTAATAGTTGAAAAGTAAAGTATTGATTCGTATTGACAAACACTGTAATCTTTTCCTTTCTTTTTTTCTGTGCATTCCTTGGCTAAATTATAATTGTTGATTAATTAATTTTGTAAATATTGGAGAGGAATTCAAATAGGTAAGGGATGAAACTATTGGCCAGAGACATTTAAGCTGTTAGGAACAACATATTTCATAATTGTCAACTCTTTTATTCATAATTTGGTATATAAGTGATGTATTCTTAAGTGAAAAAGATGGATGAAATGTGGTAAAAAAGTGAACAATCGAAGAAAAGAATCTTATTCAATTCCATCAGAACATATGCTAAGGGAAAAAATTTTATCCATTTGATATTAATCGGAAACCGGAAGAGTATACTGAATTGATTAAATGAAATCCTGTTAGTAATGGGAGAAAAAATTATTACTGATGTTTTAATAATGAAAAACTTATATAAAAGAATTAAAATTAGTAATAGAAAGAAAGAAAAAAATAAGACTTAAATGTTTATTTGAATTTAAAAAAATTTTGAAGTAAATAAACTAATAAACACAACAAATATAATAATATACAAGTTTAAACCAATCGCAATGCAATATAGCTATCCGATAATCCACGAAATAAACTATTTTTATGAAAAATCCTTCTTTGAACACTTTCTTTCTTCCTTTCTCTCTCTCTCTCTCTCTCTCGTAAACGTTCTTCTTTATGATATAGTTTTCTTTTAAAAAAAGAAAAGATAAAACCTCACTTTAAAAAATTTTTTAAAACATTTATTATTCCATTAGTATATCACTAAAATGTGGAAAACACTCTTCCCAATATCTCTTTTAAAGATTATTTATTACCTAAAGATAGTCTTCCTGTTTTCCTGAATGTTCCTTCTACTGATAGCACAAAATGGATTTTATAAATCATTTATAATTATCGATAACAATTTCACATTAAGAAATTCTGTTTAATTCTCACTAAATTTATTATTTTGAAATCATTTTTCATGCTTTATAGTAAAAAGAATTGATCAGATCAAATGTATAATATATTTTTCAAAAATTGAAATATTTATCAAAAATTAAAGTTAGAATTTGCTTCATTACAATTAATAATATTATATGTTCTTATTTTCTTCTTAATGACAGTATTAAAGAAATAAGAATAATTACTGACAAAAAAAAGTACGACAAAGATTTACATTTTCTACTTAGCGTCAAAAGCATTTATTAGAATGATTCGTTTAAAATCAAATTTTACGTTAAAATATTTTGTAATAAACAAAAAAAAAAGGATAGACCGTGAAGAAAGAAATTTTCTTGCTAAAAATGATTGTTGTACAACAGCTACCAATCATTTTCCTATCTCATTGAGGAAATATAAATTTAGATAAATTGTAAATTTAAAAAATAACAACAGCAATGGATTGATATTATGGCGATTTGAATGAGATGGTTTATTTTCATTCAAATTTTAACGAGCTATTATTAAGCCATAAATTTTTTTGATGTTATATTTAATTGTTGAAAAAATTCATTTTCCAAATAGAATAATCAAAATTTATATTTTAAAATTTTACTCAAAAAATAAACAACAAAATTTCAACCATTTTTGGAGCAAAAGTAATTGCATATTTTCTTATTTACAGCTTTTTCTTCTTATAACTTTTTTATTTGCATTGGAAGAAAATAAATAATTCATTTCATTTCACAAAAAACTTTTCTAATTTTATAAATGAAATTTTGAAAGAAATTTATCAATTGTTAATTGACATTTTCAACACAGCAATTGATATTTTTAACAGCTTAAAAGCAAAACGAATCAGTGATATAATAATTAGTTGTAATATTGTGAAATGATTCGTTATCATTTGTGCATTATCTGATTAATCAAATTGAGATTTATACATTTATGAGTGTTATGATAGTTTTGCAACTTAAAATTTTGATTGATTTTTGTAATAAATAAAATCATATGAAATTCATAAAACATATAAGAAAGCAATTTTGAAATTTTCCAATAGAAAGCAATAAAATTTTAGAGACACAAGCGGAGTTCAAATAAATTCTAAAAATTTTTTGTTCAATGAAACTTTTTTATTTTTAAAAATTCCTCATGTGTTTAGAAACAAAAACTCATTCAAATTCAATGAATTCGAAAATTTATCCCAATTATATCATTTTTCTCTTAACTTCCAAGCAAGACTGAAATGCTTAAAGTGTAAAGCAGAAGATAATTTCAACACATTGTATCCGATCCGTTACACAACGGATTAATTCAAAAATTTATAAATGGAAGAAAAATTTAATGGCCTATGACAATTGCATAAATATTTTAGAATGCCATAAATTCAGAAAAGCAAAAATTAGAATTAATTATAAAAAAACTGAAATGAACTTATTTCGTTAACTGTTTTAGTATTTATTATTGAAATAGCAATAAATGGATAAAAATCCAAAAATTTCTTACATTTTTAAAGTGACGTGAAAATTCTAAAAGAAAAAAGATGCTATTTCAATGATGCTATCAAAGAAAAAATTGCCTAAATTCTAAAATTAATTCACTAATATTCTAAAATTATCGATTAATTCTTTTTCATCCATAAATTGACAAAAATTTTATCATTGATTTTTTTAATGCTTGCATATTTGTTGCATCACTAACAGACTTGTAAGTTCATCTGAATCTCTTGAAGAAGAAATAATAATAATTAATCACGCTATCAGCAATCGATAAATATTGCTATTAATGATAGAAAATAATGATTAAGATTGAATGTATAATTGGAAAGCTTAGATTTATTCATCTATTATGCTCATTTCCAGTTTTGATGATCAAATTATATGGTTGTTGACAATGTCATGTAAATGATTAGACTAAGATCCATTTGATAAATTAATTCCTTAGAGGGTAGATGATTGGAAAACAAGTAAAGCTATCACTAAAGAATGACCTCATTAAAGCACTATCCAAATTGTACCAGCTATCATTAGAATTAATGAAAAGTGTCACTCATTAACTTTAATGATACATATATAAAGGAAGCAAAATGAGTGATCTAAAATATCTTCTCAAAAGAGAATTTCAAATATTTGAAATTAAACTATCAAATTTAATATGTGGAATAAGTTAAACTAATCTGAATTAATGCTACTAACATTAAAATAATAATAATAATTCAACAAAAAAAATTTTACTTGAAATTCAATTCAAATTTTTTAAACAATTAAACTGTTACTAATTGGAAATACCTTAGTTTGTTAAGAAGTTTTAGTCATTACAATAAGCAAATGTGATTTGGTGACGGTCCCTATTGCTAATGGGGTCAGAATAAACAATAGGATGATTGGGATAATCTCACGCTCGCGCTAATCATTTCATCTAATCTGCTAACTTCACCACATCGTTTGATCAGCAAAGAGCGCAAATTTGGTAAACCTGTTTAAAAACAATTGCTTACAATAAATTTTGAAATTAAATGTATGATTTCTAATCTCCTTAAAACCGGTTCCAATTTAATTAATTCATTTCAAAATTTAGTTTAATTACTTAAGTTAGAAATTAATTCCAATCAGTAGTAGCCAATTTTTTATTAAAATTAAAACAATAAGAATTTCAGTGATATGTTTTGTTACATTTTTGCATTACTTATTAGATTATTACATTTTATGTAACAATTTCAAATCATCTCCGCTCTAAGGTCTAAGTAAAGAATTTAGAACTTTTAAATTTTCCTTTAAAAATCGAATTAAATGTACCGTTAAACGGCTCAAAACAAACTCTTACATCGAGAGATAATCATAGAAATAAAAGATAAAATAAGATAAAGATTGAACGATTTAAAGATATTATTAGTTAATGGAATGAATTCTTACTCCAATTAAGCTTATATCGAAAATCTCGAGATGTGACCAATTTACTTTGGCAAAATATTTTGTCTTAAAATCATCTAATCACAGTTTTTCAACAATAAATCATTGATGAATTAATTAAATTGGAATTAAACTACTTTTTAAATTATAACGCTACAAAATTCATCCATTTCATAAATTCATGAAATTTGATGAAAGAAAAATCTACGAAATATCTAACAAATCAATTGCCAAGATATCTTTTTCCAGTTTCAAATTTCTTAGAACTATGCAAATGGAAATAATAACGATCAATTCGATTAACTGGATTGGACTAAACTGATTGCACTAAACTCAAACATACACTTTCCATTGGGCAACATTGTTGAAGAATGAAGTGGAAACTTAAGAGGGCACATGTGTTTGGCAGAACAGCAACAGATGCTCCCTTTCCTGTATCCATCCATATGGTTATTATATTTTACATGATACTATTCATTTTAAGCAAATGCTAATACATATATCAGAAAAAACGACTCAGGTTTAGGCATTATTAATTTGAAGATAGGCTTAGTAACTACTAAGAAGGAAGTATTTTATATAATTAATTAAAATTAGACTTTTGGCAATTTTATTTTGAAAT